TTTAAAAACAAATTAATTTTATTTGGTTTAATAATATAATTTTTTATAAAGATAATAATTAATTATTTTGTTAGAACTCAATAATTATTCTAATTATATTTTAAATTTATTATATTTTAAAATGAAATATTTATCCTTTATTTGATTATGTTTGTCCGCAGTTAGTTACACAAATTCAGACATGAAACTTTAATAAGTTGTACTTACGTACAATCTACTTGCAATCTTGAGTTTTAAGTAATATGCATTAATAAACAGTACTTTACGCATAAAAAATGATTTTTAAGAATTTTTGTCGAATGTTTTATAATATAGTATAGATTTAGTAAAAAAATAGAAAATTAGAGAAAAAACTGAAAGGACCATGTTACCTCTTAATTTAACGGATTCTTCTAATTTTGTTAACCTCAAGGACGAAAAGTTAAATGAAATGAAACAGTAATGACCAAAATAGCAATTTTTAAAAGACTGAGGACAAAAATATCCATAGACAACAAACCAAAGGGACTAAAATCGCAATTTACCCTTGAACAAACTCGGATTCGATTAAACGGCTCGGGTTTTAGAACATTTTCAAAACTCAACACACTATAACCTGCCCACCACCAAACCCTAACACTAACATGCACCAACAAAATTCCTACTGTTCAAACCCTAGAATTCCTGTTCATTCTTCACATAATTCACCATGTCTCTTGACAGGGCCGTTGAAAGGGGAAAGGATTCCTCTTTGCCCCCTATGTCGATGGCACTTGTCGCCGTCAGCAATGGAAATGGTAATGGAACCGGACCAGCAACGTCTAACGCCAGCTACCGTCTCCGATTGAACCCCAATCAAGATCACAAGCCGGATAACTACGAAGATCTCAGATTGGAGTTCACTCCCCTGCTTTTCAGCTCTCTGGAGCGATACTTGCCGCCAAACCTCTTGAATGTTCCTCGAGATACGAAGTATAAATACATGCGGGACATTCTACGTCGTTATTCGACTGAAGGAGAGCGCACTCGAGTGAGTATCTCCGTTCTGCTATATTTTTAACTCTCACACACTAGTTTATAAATCCCTTTTGGCTGGCATTGTTTGCATAAGGTTCGAATTTTGAATTTTGCATGGTTGCTAAGTGATTGAGGGGAAGGAAGTTAGAATTCTGGAAACACTGAATTCTTTTAAAGTGGATTGGAAACATATATGTAGGGATGGAGAGAATGAAATGACAAGTTAGCCTATCACACGTGAACTAGCTAGGTATACGACTTTTTTTCTGCATTATATTCGTGTGGTGAGGCTTTTAATTCATATTCTGTGTTGATTTTTAGTTATACCGGATAATTGTTGTGCTTTAATTCTTTTAAATAGTGGAACCTTTTGAAGGATTATTTGCAACAAAACCGTGGTTGTGTGGTTTGTAGGGAAAACAAAGGGAATAACTTGCTATAAGTTGGGGCATTTGTTGCAGGCATGTACCTACCTGAAACGAGCAATGGTTTATGGTTCTCACACAATGGTGTGTTCCAAAACAAAGAATTCTTGAATATTTTGAAAGAGATTAGGACATAAGTGCATAGCATTAAATGGTAATCATCTATTTTAGAGTGATAACGTAAGTTTGAAATAATCATTAGCTTCTAATTTTACACAAAACAGCAATAATTTTTATGGCAAAACATAACTTTGTGTTTTCTTATATTAAATAAAAGTGTTATTAAATTAGTATACTTCTTAATTCAGTTAATTGTAAATTTCTAGAATCGTGACCATAAAAAAGCAAATGCATTTTGCTGCTGCCAAAGTGTGTGTCGGAAAGAAAACAGATGCACACAGAGAGAAAACATTGATAGAATACTAGGAAAAAGAGTAGTCCAGAGAGGAAAGAGAACAAAATACATGAAGAAACAAATAAAAGATTGGAGAAGCAGAGTAGTCACAGCTTAAATTAGAAGCCAATGTGCAGTCCTAGACTCCTAGTCCAAGTGCTATAGCTAGTTGTTTGAAACCCAAGTTAATTTAGTTTCTTTTGAAAGCTTTTAGGAAAGAAATAAGATGAAAGGCATACAGAGCCCCGAACTAAACATGTCAACTTTAAACCTCTAAAGGCCCTAATTCATATTGAGACATGACAACAGCATGCATCATAGGACATAGGGCCTCATGTTACCCCCTCCCTCCCTTAAGAGTTTGATTGCATATGGCAATGCACCACCCCAGAAAGGTGTAAATACTTCTAAGTTTGTTTTTCTATTAAGATTTTTTTTCTTATTTTTTGTTTCTAGATTTACTTCTAAGTTTTAAGTATATGTTTTTTCACGATCATTGATCATCTTGCTCATCGCTTCATTTCAACAGGACCAGAAGCACAGAGAATACAGGCAAAAAATTATATCCAATTATCAGGTAAATTTCAAGGTGATATCTCACGTGGAGGGTTCTTGTTCCCAGTTCATTCTGTTTACTGGTTAGCATTTTCTTAGTTCAGCGTACATGTCATATGCTCTATTACTTTACTTTCAAGTCTTGTGTCTGTTATATACTATGCGCTTTGCATGCCTTTGTTTTCTAAATTGGAACATATTTAGTGTCCATTGAACCAGACTGTTCTGACACTAAAGGTACTTAAAATCTGTGGGTACTTGGTATATATAACTAAAGTATTTACCTTTACATCTTATATCTTTCCTTTCTTGGACATTTTATGTCATTTGTTTGCTTACCTTACCCTAGATAGAGAGTTTCTTATCCTCTGTTACAGCACTGCCTTATCATCAACGTAGAAGTACACTATGAACCCCATGAACATTCAAAAGCATTTTCTGAAGACACAATGTAAACAGAGTTACTCCTTTATTGTCCTTTAGTCCCAAAATAAATGCAAAATTTTCCTTTTGCAGATATCCCCAAATAACTATGATGTTCCCTTTTTGGAAAAAATTCAAGCTAAAAATTAAATGTGTCAACTGTACTCGTTATCTCATTTTGATGACAATGATTTGCCCTGCGAGATTCCTCTTATATTTCTCCTTGAGTTTAGACATTTTATTAGCAGTCAAACACTTGCTAGTCAAGCATTGCATTCTTTTTGGGTTCTCAATATCTGCATATTAGTGTAGACACTTGCTTTGGAGTGGATGAGTACTTCTGGCTCATTGGTTAGTTCACATCTGTTAGTTTTTCTCAAATACTTCAAATTTCATCGTAATGCCATTCATTAAACTTCTGAAACTGCATGAAATATTCGTTCTTTTCTTTTGGAAAGAAGCATGAAATATCTGTGGTACTATAGTTTGCATAAAGATGACATAAATAACGTATAAAAGTTGAATTCTATGCCAAGTGTTGGTATTCTGAAATTGATTGAATGGACTTCATTTATATGGACATAATATCATCAACCACACTTTTTCTTGTCTGCCGTTTGAGATGCGTATCTTTTTTCCTCTCAGCCTCTGTACAGAGAACTTTATACATTGAACCCTGCAACGTTTTTCGTCCAATCCTTTGTGAAGGCATTCAGTGCCAGTGATAAGAATAAAGATGAAAGTATTAGAAGCATAATGTCTGAACCCACTCCAGGAGTCTATACGTTTGATATGCTGCAGCCACGTTTCTGTGAAATGCTGCTAAGCGAGGTATTAACCAGCTCTGTAACTGTCATCTTGTCATTGGGCGTGAAACRCCCAACTTTTCCTGTAGTTTAGTTTTTATGTTTTCTTATCAGGTTCTGATTGCTTAGGTAGAAAATTTTGAAAAATGGGTCCATGAAACAAAGTTCAGAATCATGCGACCAAATACAATGAACAAGTATGGTGCCGTTCTTGATGACTTTGGCATGGAATCCATGCTTGAGAAGTTGATGGAAGACTTCATACGACATATCTCAAAAAGTAAGCTCTAAGAAGTAGCATGAACTAAAAAGTAGTAGAGAGGTTTGAAAGGTTGACAGATGCCCTGCATATCTCTTACATCACTTTCTGCTTTTAAATTTCATGCAGTTTTCTTCCCTGACGTTGGAGGATATTCTCTTGATTCCCATCATGGATTTGTGGTTGAGTACGGAATGGATAGAGATGTCGAATTGGGTATATTATCAGTTGAATTTTCATGTTTCTTACGTTGGCAACCAAGCTTTTCTCATTGTCAGTTTTGTTTTCACCAGTTTCTGCACATTGTAGTGCTGTTTATGATCTATCTTGGTACTTTTGTACAATTAATAAGCATTTTTTAACAGCCCCATGGAAATATGGAGGAAAATTTGGGTAATAGGTTCTATTCATTGGTCTTTTCAGGACAAACCATATGTGTATGTAGTTAGTGTCCTTGGTGTGATTGGCACTATACATCTGAGAATGGTAGCTACTTGGATGCTGATATGCCACTTCTCTGCCAGAGTTGGGAAGTTCCTGATCTTTCCCTTGGGGTCATAGTGAGTATGGCTGTGATGCAAGCATGACACAAACTCAGAAAAAAAGAGCCACGGAAGTACATGGATATTTGATCATATCCCTTCCAATATATAGCAATCAAATTAAATCGTATGACTGCAAGTTTTTRTAGCAGATAGAGTACAGATGAATAAACAAATTAAAAGTCTAATTTGTGTTGTCTACACCGTAACATTATCTAAAACTATTTTATGTTCTAGACCTAGGATGAAATCTAATAAAATCTTATGTTAAAGCTCAAACAATTAGAGGTCTGTTCTTGCATGACGAAGAGAGAAAATTAGTTGATTTTGGCTTGTGCATGCCATATCCAAAGTAACCGAAGAATATGATAGGCTTTAAATGCACATTGTCAGGATTCTGAAAGAAAATAATTTCCATTGGTAGCTTATATACTATGCTGTGGTGGTAGCTGTTRGGGATGTGGAGAGAAAATTGCCTACAACCAAATTTTTAACTAGTTGTTACAGTGGTAGTGTTTTCATTGTATTAGAATTATCATATCTTGTTACAATTTTGATTTCATCCCTTGTAGAGAGTTTCTAAATGGTACATTCTCTTAGGAATTCTGCACCTAGAGATATATATATATATATATATATATATATATATATAGGCGGAGGATCGTGTGAGAATAGGAGTTAAGGTGAGAAGCCTAAGAAGGGATCTGGACCCTTGATCACTTTTAATCTCACCCCACCCCATGAATTCCGTTATCTCGGGAATTGATCAATGCACCGCATTAGTGTTGATATTCAGTTAGGATTGATCCAAGGGTGGAGATCCCTTCTTACCCTTCTCACCATAACTTCCATTCTCACCGGAAACCAACCCTATGTATCTATATTTATTTCATTCAACGGGAAAATGGCCATCTTTGTGGAAAACAAAATGAGGCTTAAAATGCTTGGTACATTAGACATGGCCTCAATGTTGATGAACGAGCACCAAGATATATTTTTATTGAATTGTTTCTTCTCTTCTGGCTGCTCTGCAGCTTTCTGACTATTTTTTTTTCTTCATCTTCAGTTGATATCTCTCATCAATTGTACCTCTCTTTTAGATTTCCAGTGCTGCTGTATCAGTGCCTATAAAAAATAACATAATGGAATTGAATTCTATTCTTGTGGTCAATTCCATTCTCTTTTAGTTTTCCAGTGCGATATTACATAATCAGATTTTGAGTGATAGCTTTAAATTTTAAATTTTTTACATATGGCATTATCTTCACATGATTGCTAGTCATTGTATTATGGTATCTCAATCTTGTTACTGTTTCAGTCGTCAAAATTCTTGACAGCAGCATCAGCATTTTATTTGGATCAGAACACTCATATATCTTCATTTATAGGTTTTCATGTGGATGACTCAGAAGTAACTTTGAATGTATGCTTGGGCAAACAGTTTACTGGTGGGGAGTTATTTTTTAGAGGCGTGCGATGTGAGAAACATGTGAATAGCGAAACACATGCTGAGGTATGTGGACATGTTTTTTGTTGCGCTATATGCATCATTGAGTAAGGTGTTAGCTAAAACATTACCTTTTCTTGAGATTATTTTTAGTCATCTTTGGTTCTGTTTCATTCTAGTATTTAAATTGTTTAGTATTTTTCAAGTAATGGCACGCTTTAGCCCTCCTAGGTACCCTATGAAGCTTTAGAAGTGGCATTTCTTTCATTCCATGTTAATATTTTTTTAGAGGCGTGCGAAGTGAGAGACATGTGAATAGCGAAACCCATCCCGAGGTATGTGGACAATTTTTTTTGTTGCACTATATGCATCATTAGTATGGTGTTAGCTAAAACGTTACTTTGTCTTGAGATTATTTTGTAGTTATCTTTGGTTTAAATTGTTTCGTATTTTTTAAGTGATGACAAGCTTTAGCTCTCCTAGGTGCCCTGTGAAGCTTTAGAAGTGGCATTCTCTTCATTTCATGTTAAGTGCTAGGGACGGACCCTGATTTTTTTTTTCAAGCGGTTGCACCATTTGACTATAAGAAACAAATATAGGGAAATTTTTCACTAAATCATCATTGGTCTGTTGGTTAGTGTGAGGTCATGTGTTCAAGTCTTTTATTGCAATTTTTTTCATATACATAATAAATCTGAAATTAAAAACTAAAAACGAAGAAAATGACACTAATGGGATTCAAAGTCGGGTCTAGGGTGTAAGAAAAGCCTTGCAAACCAACTCAACCAAGGAAAACTTGTGTCCTCATTGTAGTTTCAAAATATATATGGTGGCACACAACAAATTAATACGGGTGACACTTTTCACGACCCTATAAATTTTTACACTACGACGGAGAAATGAAACGGTGGCATGAGCCACCATATGCTCACATTGGGTCCGTCCATGTTAAGTGCAATGGTTCCTATTTTGCGATGTTCTGTCATAAAATGCAATACAACCCAGATTGACATGTAGTTTGAATAGAAGTCTAAACTCCATCATTAATCTATACTACCTTATAAACCAGATTTATTAAAAGTCTTAAAAATAATTTTTAATGCACAAAGTACTATACATATGTGCACAAAGTCTTAAAAGTCTTAAAACAACTCAAAATACATTAAGTACTACTAACCTTTATGCATTCAGTCTTAAAATCTCTTAATCTACAATTAAAAATAACATATAGTACAAGTTACGAATGCACATTATTATTTTTTCTTTTCATGTTCTCAAGATACTTTTGACACCTTTCACTCATGTCTTCACCTTCTAATACCTCTATGTCTTCTCCCCATCCCCCAAGGTGAGATTCAAACTGATATTCACCATGAGTTATTTAAAGTTCTCTCATTCATCTCCCATTCAATTGCTCTAGAACTCTCAGTCTCGATCTCTTGATTCTTTGCTCTTGGTGTAAATCGAACACATTTATGGAGTCATTTAAATATCTTGGGTTTTAAATATATTGGATTTTAAACTGTCATACAATTTTTTTCATCGATAGACTGTAATTGGAACCGTAACTCTTATTTATTCAAATTGTATTAATATGTAAAGACCAAGTGTAACTTATATCGTCGTTAAATCTTCTCTAATAGAACCAGTGAAACTTCAAAATCGTTAAAATCACGGCTCCCGCCGCATTGCACGGGTACACAACTAGTGTACTATTAATTTTAGCAATTGATCCTTCAGTATCCCTACTTTGTTTAGATTTTAGGACTAAAACCTCCAGGCCGCGGGGAATGATGCCAGCTAAATTCATAAGCAAAGTTCTCACAAAATAATGTTCTCAAAAACCTTTTTCAAGCGGGTCTTTACGGAATCATCCTCTCTGAAGACTAACACTCTAACAGACTCTACTCGTATGGGACTCACGGGCTTGTTTGGTTTAGTCCGATAATTATTAGGATTATGTTAGGGTTCATATTTCTTTTTATTCTTGTTGGGGTAAATGTTTTTTTTGTTCGGTACTCCTGCTTGTTTCATTATAAATAGAATTGTATTCCCCAAGGAGATGATTGAGAGTTTTCAAAGAATTTACGTTTCTCTTTGATTGTGTGAAACAATGAACCTTAGGTGTGATACCTTGGATTATCTTGGGTGTGATGCTCCAGAGATCCTAGTGCTGCTCTGATTTGAGACCCTTTTAAACCTAGTTTCTTTAATTGCTTCTCCAAATCCTTCTAAAATATGTCCTGCATCATAATTACTAATATAATCTGATTGTTAGGATAATGTTACTATTTATCTTTTCATCATTACTTGCAGGATTAGTAGCTAGTAGCTGTATGTTTTAAGTTCATTGTTAGGATAATTACTAGCTTTAATATTGTTAAGTCTTGAGGTTTAATATTGTATAAATAGATATATAATCTGAAGAATGGTTAATAGGGACGATGAGTAGTGCTATATCCTCATAAACATCCACCAAAATTTATTTCTTTAGACACTTGATAATTTCATGTGGTGTTTAGATTTTTTGCACGTGGGTCAAGGAGTGTTTAAGTTCTATCAAGTAACACATACTTGCAGGTTGTCTCTTTGATCTCTGAAAACAATGAAGCTTGGATGAAATACCGTAGGTTATCATTGACGTGATGCTCAAGAGATACTGGTATTTATTTGGTCTAAAGATCTAGAAACCTACTTCCTGTAATTTTTTTTTCCAATTCCTGTTTTCAAAAATTCCCCCCCTCATATTTGTAAGCTTAGGAAGAGAGGAACTATTGTTTTAGTGTATATTAGGATGAGAGTTAAACTCATGATAATTGTTAGAATAATGTTTGCATTTGTCTTTTTTTCATTTATTGTTACCATCTTTAGGATAACTTATAGCTATATCCATTGGCTTTATTAATATTTGAACGTTTATCGATCAATATGATGGAACTGGAGTGGATGAGAGTTGAGATAGGCGGGTGAATGAATTCTGCAAGGTTTTAGGGTTTGGATATGACATGGGTAGTTTAGTAATTTACCAATTTTGTTCGATCTCCTTGGTTTCTGTTCCAACTTCCACCTATTTTGGTTTTGTTCCACTAAGTTTTGTACCGGTGTAATTGTCATACCAAACATAGGACATAAGTTTATATTATGTCATGTTCCGTCCTATCAAGCCTACCAACATGGTCACTGGCATAATCTAAGTTGTTCAAATGAACTCACAGTCATGCAGGCCGTTAGGAGATACAAGTCAAGGATCCTTATTCATATAAAAAACCTGCACAGCATGATAAAATTTCAGATAAGAAATGGCATCTTGAAAGTGGGACAACTTTTTTGGATGACAACTTGGTCTTTTCATACGTTCACAGGAAATATACGATTACGCTCATTTCCCTGGACGTGCAATTATTCATCGTGGTCGCCATCGACATGGTGCCAGAGCCACCACATCTGGCCATAGAATTAATTTACTGTTGTGGTGCAGAAGGTGCTAATTCTTCACCCCTCTACACCTTTTTGATTGATATTATGTCACTTTTTACTTGCTGAATTTGGAACTCTTTTTCCTTCTAGTTCTGTATTTAGAGAATTGAAAAAACATCAAAAGGAGTTCCTAAGCTGGTGTGGAGAGTGCCAACGAGAGAAGCAGGCTCGGCTTCTTCAGTCCGTGGCTGCAAAGAAAATGGTAATACTCTTCCGACGTTTGTCCATCCGCCTTTTAGAAGATTCTAGAAATTCATAGTTCATCTCTTTGATGTTATCAGGAGTTGCTTCTAGTTGAAGGAGATGCTGCTTCTTGAATCTTGATTAGAAGATCAAAAACCTGGTATGTTTTGCAACATCGTTGTACATTCAAGTTTCCTTCTCGCATTTCTGCACTTCAGATTTTCATCTTTTGTTAGGTTTCAAAATCGTGTTTGTGACAGAATGTTGTTTTGTTAGCACTTAGTGCTTCTCCTTGTGATGGAATGTTGTTTGTTAGAATATATAAACCATATGTTCTGTGTGGTTCTTAATTCTTATCCTGTTTCTGGGACTAGTTTCATCCATCTTCCTTTTAAACTTCAGCCAAAGTTATCCTTTGAACCGATAAACCTAGATGCCAACTGGAACCGACAATTACACGGCTTGATTCTGGTTCCAATGGTTTAGGAGGTGCTTGGTTGGGGGTAGAGATGCCCGTAGCCGAAGCCCGATCAAGCCATTTTTTAAAGAAGCGCGGGTCTTGGCCTGGAAAAGTGTGGCCTGAAAATTGGACCCATTTTACACCAAAAGCTCGGGCTCAAATCCCAAACTTTTTTTCTTTCTGAGAACGGGCTTGGAATGCTCTGGCCTAGAATCCAAAAACGGGACTTGTGCATCTAGTTGGGGGTAACAAGAGGTGGTGATAGAGATTGGCATTATTAACATGTAATGGAATGTGATGCTACAAAAAATTGGATAATGAAGCATTTTCAACAAATCGGAAAATGAAACTCGTTTCTTTTTCTCATTGTTCTCGTTCTCATTTTCATTTTTGAAATGAACCGTGCATTCCTTGAGGATGATCGATCAACATAAGGATCAGTCGCAGTTTCAAAAATCTAGGAGTCCGACTGGCAAAAGTAGGTTGTAGGAATCGACCATCACTCTTTTCGAATATATGTTTTATTGATCTATAAACATTCTTTGCTTGGCTCGGCTCGATTTGAATGGAAAATTTTTAAACGTCTTTTCGACTTGAATGGAAATTTTGTTATGGAGTTCCATTCATCAAGTTAATCGAACTTTATTTTGTGATCGAGATATATATTAGAACTCAAAACTTATCAAGGGGTTGTTTACTAAACGTTTACCCGATAAGTGCTTCTTGGCCAATTTTCCTCACCGAATTAACATAGCAAGGGCCAAGAATCTTACCTGGTAAGAACAACAATAAGGATGGAGAGTCTTACCCTGTAAATGAGGGTGACGACTCTTACCCGAACGCTTATTGGGTAAATTGTTGCATAAGATACCGTTTTGATGTATTACAATCTTATCCGATAAAAATAAATTATAATGTCGATTCCTAATGGTAAGCGTTTACTGAGTAAGCATTTGGGTAAACACCACCTAAGTTCGAATAATTTACACCCTCATGTTCGTAAAGGTGACTTGAACATGGTGGTGTGACGGAAGGTCCTTTCACTATCTTTTTCTGTACCGTCTCGTTTTCGTGCTTTTTCTTAAAGATGATGTCGCGAACTATTTATAGCCAAATTGGCCCCAAGTAGTCCACAACCATCATCTTCCCATTATACGTTATATAATAAACACCAAAAAAGGTTGATTACTACTTAAGAATGATTTGCAATATTAGACATTAGGCCGTTTGGTTCACTTGTTTGTTCTATTATTCACCACGTTCTGTTTTTATATATTTTAATTGTTTCGTACTTCTTTTTAAGTTGTTTTTTTTCATGTTGTTTACCGTATCCAGGGGTAATTTGATTTAAATAATCATATTCCACAACCAAATTAATCTTCTAACCGTTTCTGTCCGGACTTTACCCAAAAGTCACTAGGTCTGCAATTATTGTGGAGGATCGCAGTCCCATTAAGCGACAAAAAAACAACGTTTTTGGCTCAGTCTGTAACCACCGGTGTACAATTTTTATGAATTCTTCTATCCAAAACTCATTTTTCTATGAAACCCCCAAGGTGGGCACTTACGGATCTGGCATTACGGATTTAAGGAAAATAGGTTTAGGGTTGGATCCGTGATAATTATAGACATGTGATTATGGGTCTGGGATGAAAAACTCTGGAATTTTTTTGTTTAGTGGGTCTGCAACGATTGCGGACCTGAGTATTGTAGACCTAGTGACTTTTAGCCAGGTAAAGTTCGCAAAAAAAATGGTTAGAATGTTAATTTGATTGTGAATGTGATCATTTGGGTTAATTTCCTTGTATTCAGTTGCTCAACTTTTTCAGGGCTTTTTTCCTTTCTCAAGATTGTCCATTAACTTTTTGAAACTTCATTTCTTGCAATTTTTAAACATATTTTCAGGGTCACTAAAGACTTCTTTGGACCCTATTACCTGTTCTATATGACGCTTGGGACTTGTTTGTTTTTTTTTGAAATTTTTTAATAGTTTTTTATGTCTAATTTATTAAGAGATAGGGTCATTTAGATTTTTTTTTTCAATTTTTCAGAAACACTTATGACTTGTTGTCCTCTTATTTGGTAAGAGGTAAACCAACCTCTTATTATTCTCCAAATCCTCAAAAACGGTGTTTCTCAATCGATTAATCTTAATTGATCATTTCTTTCAATCGTTCCTTACAAATCGATCATCATCTCTCCTAATTGATGTACTTTAATAGGATTTAAATGTGTTAAATATCATTAATGACATATTTTTGGTTAAATAAATGCTAATTATATAACTTAGATGTAAATTTCGTAATGTGATGAATAAATATTTGAAATTGTATAAATTTATCTATAAGTTTAACACTATAATCTTCTAATGGGTAAAATAGATAATTTAAACAAATTCAGACATTTGTTAGCTTACAAAAATGAACAATCTTATTGATTCAGATTGATTCAGATTTCAAAGTTCAGCACGACCTATTATCAGTTAGAAGTGAAATAAGACTTTAGACTTCATCACCCTCATAAAATACAAATGTCACCTTACTATTGATTTGATTTAATTTAATTTGGTTTGAGATAAAACAATCATTAAAAATTTCATAGTTCTTTTTGAAGTATATACATCAAACAAAACTCATACATATTCCCACCTTTGGTGAACACACACTTGTATATTTGGTGAATTTGTAACACTTAGGGGCCTTTTACTAAACGTTTACCCGGTAAGTGCTTACCAGGTAATTTTCCTTACCGGGTGAACATGACAAGAGTAAAAAATCTTACCCGGTAAGAGCAATGGTAAAGATGGAGAGTCTTATTCGATAAGTGCAGGTGACAACTCTTACCCGGGTAAGTGCTTACCAGGTAAATTGTTGCATACGATATCCTTTTGACGTACTACAGTCTTATCCGGTAAAATAAATTATAATATTGACTCATAAAGGTAAACATTTAGATAAACGATCCATTAAACTTCTTAAAATATTAAATTATCAGATACTGTTAGGATATTTGGTAAGATTTCATAGTTGCAACTCTTTTTACCAATTTGGGTCATTGCTAACAACTTAATGCCAAACGATAAAAAGAAGAAGAAAAAAAAATTACATGAATAAATTATTGTAATATGTTCAATTGTATCCTGCGTCCAACAAGTTGGATAAAATGTTATATATATAATGGAGTGATCAAATGCAATTCGTCTTATATTTGTACAAACCGTGCAAATTATTTTTATCCGTTGATTTTATTGTTTAATTTAATGATTTTGTTTCATGAAATTGTTTTATTTCATATAATACTTTTCTATATGAAATTGTTTCATATAATACTTATGAAATTTTAATGAAATTGTTTCATGTATTCATTTAAACTCAATATAATGAAGATAATAATATTCATGGTTAACACCCATCACAATAAAAATGATTAATCAATCTCTCATAATTACAAAAAAAAAAATTATGAAAAATTATAATTGGTTGAATGAGGTTTGTACAAATAACATGGTTTGAAATGTAAACTTTCTTTCTCTCTCTCTCTCTACACTTTACAATGTTTTTGCTGTGAATGTTCGGTAACCTTTACAGTGTTTTTTTATCTTCAAGCGTTTTGCTGTGAAGTTGCAAGTGTAAAAAATTGGTCTCATGGATCTCACGAAAACAAACTGTTCTCACGTGATTAGAGGGAGTGGACTATGAACATCCGTCCCATGAAGCACCGGGGAACCATGCATTCCTCTCAGGCTGGGCTCTCGCATGCAGTCCCTGAGTCCAGCTTGTAGCAAGCCAAAAGTTTGACTTAAGCCTACAAAGGTTCTGTGACATGAACACCCAGCCCAACTTGATCAGTCGGTTGGCCCACCTAAGATATTAAAAAATTCGAATCCAACCCTAAAAAAGTTTCAAAAACATGAGTTTTTTTTAAACTACTCCATTTTCCCTCAGTTTCGTTTCCTTTCCTTTGTAGAAAAGGTTTCGAAAACACAATGTTAAAAATTAAACAATTTGATAGACACATTTATGACGTTCACTATGTTTATAGGTAATCTGATTAAAATTTTGACAGAGAATAGTTTAACATACGTATATAATTTGTTCATCATCTCGTTTATATATGTAATCGAACAAAATTATGAAAATGCACTTTATCTGTTTCATCTTTGTATATAATTATCTAACATAAATGACCGATATGGTTTGTGATTTTTAACATCTTTTTGGTTATAACGGTATTTTTTCTCATTGAAAATAAGATCATTTATACAAGTAACCGATACAAATAGACTGGATTAGATTAACATAACTGATGCAAGATAGATTATATTTTGTTGGCCGAGACTTGAGATATACAAGTGACTATGAACTTCTTTTAAGAACCCAATTAATTATAATAATCTTGAGAGCCAGTGTATCATGTGTTAGTTTATATGATTTTTTCATCAAAGCCATGATATAGAATATCAATTTAGGTGCCGCTTACTAAAGGCTTACGCGGGTAAATGCTTACCAAGTCACTTTACTTTACAGGATGAATATGACAAGGACTAAGAATCTTAACCAGTAAGAGCGAAGACATTAATCGAGAGTCTTACCCGATAAGTGAAGGGCGACTACTCTTACCATGGTTAGCGCTTACCGGGATAAATTGTTGCATACGTTGCGTTTTAGTAAATAAAATTTTACCCGCCAAGTAAGCGATAATGTTGAATTTTACCGGTAAGTGCTTACTGGGTAAGTGTTTAGGTAAACGAGCAACATATATTTGTTTCAAAATATGTCTGTTTTACAACGTGAACCTTTTTAAATGTTTATTAAAAAAGTCTTACATTATGAACCACATATATATGAAACAAACACATTGTGAAACAAATATTTGTTCATCAATACATTAATGTCAACTTTAGATGAGGAAAAATCATGTGAACATTACCTTAAGATGAAAAATACTTACAATTATCATAATATATGAAGTTCTCAAATGGTTAAGCCCCTATAAGATGTCTAATTATTTGATGTCTTGTGGATCCAAAAAAACATTGGGGGCACAAAGTGTAATTTACCAGACTATTTTGAATTTATTTCAATAATTAAAACATCAGGGGCTCAAAGTGTAATTTTAACAAATTTTTTACGCTTTTTTTTTTCTTCGTTTTGCCTCTGCACTGGTTTAAGCAGACATAAACCCTAAGCCTCAGTTGTCGGACGATTCATAGCGTAGAAAGAATGGGGATGAAATTATTTGACGACGGCGGCTCCGATTCCGATGGCGGAGTTGGCGACATATCCAAAATCGAAATCAACGAAGAGTTTGCGAAGCGGTACGAGCACAACAAGAAACGTGAAGACTTGCAGCGATTTGAGGAGCTCAAGAAGAAAGGTATAATCGATTCCGATGTTGATAGCGATGAAGACGATGAGTCATCTGAAGACGAGGAGGATCTTGTCAAGCATTCGAGCAAGCATGATTTGAAGTTCTTCAATGCGTTAATAAAGGTCAGAAATCAAGATCCTTCACTTAAAAACAAAGATGCTAAGTTATTTGATTCGGATAATGAAGATGATGACGACGGCGATGAGGCGGCGAATAATAATAAGGAAAAGAAAAAGAAACCGATGTATTTGAAAGATGTGACTGCAAAGCATTTGATTGAAGAAGGGCCTGAGTTTGAAGATGAAGATGAAGACAAAAATAAGAACAAGAAAAAGAGTTATTTTGAAGAGCAGGAGTTGTTGAGAAAGGAGTTTTTGGATGCTGTTGCTGATGAAAACGACGAAGGGGAATTTTTGAAGGAAAAGAATGATGACGGTGAAGAAGATGATGATGATGATCGTGAGTATGAAAAGAAATTAGACGAGTATTTTGAAGAAGATGAGAAGTTGGATGAAAATGAGAAGTTTTTGAAGGATTATTTCAGGAAAAAGATGTGGCTGGATAAAAACAATGGTGGTAATAAGGGATTGGATGAAGATGGACCAGATGTTATGGAGGATGAGGAAGAGTTAGAAAGGCAAGAAGATTATGAAAGAGAGTTCAATTTCAGGTTTGAAGAAAATGCAGGGGATAGAGTGATGGGGTTTTCAAGGAAGGTTGAGGGTTCCGTGAGGAAGAAGGATAACGCTAGGAAGTTACAGAGGAAGAATAAAGAGGAGAGGATGGCGCAAGCCGAGTTTGAGAGGAAGGAAGAGTTGAAACATTTGAAAAACTTGAAGAAGAAAGAGATGAATGAGAAACTTAGGAAGATTAGAGAAACAGCAGGGATTGGGGAAGATGAAGTTTGCTTGTTAGATGAACACGATCTTGAAGAAGAATTTGATCCTGAAGAGTATGATAGCAAGATGAAGAAAGCTTTCGACGAGAAATTCTACAATGCTGATGATGTAGATCCTGATTTTGGTAGTGATGCAGAAGATGGTGAATTGGAAAAACCGAATTTTGATGAAGACGACGACTTGCTCGGCCTTCCAAAGGGGTGGGATGATCAATATGGCTCTAGTGATGGGTTCTTGGCTGCTAGGCAAAGAATCTTGAAATCGAAGGTTGACAATGGAGGGGATGAGGAACAACCACAAGATGAAGAAGAAACAATTCCAGAAGAAGGCAAAAAGAAGAGAAAAAGGAGAAGTTCTCAATTAGAGGAGGAGGTAATTGCTAAGGAGTTGGAAGAGTATTATAAATTGGACTATGAGGATACCATTGGAGACTTGAAGACAAGGTTCAAATACAGGACTGTTAACAAAAATACTTACGGATTGAAAGCAAAGGAGATTTTAGCAGTGGATGACAAGGAGTTAAATCAATTAGTTCCTTTGAAGAAACTGGCCACTTACAGGGAGGATGAGTTCATTGTTCCTCGTCATAAGATCAAAGAACATAAGCAGAGGATTAAGGCTCTTCTTAAGGGGGAGACATCCGATGGTCCCAACAATGGCAAGAAGCAATCCAAACATGATGTTGAGAAATCAACTCAACAAGTGGATGATGCAGAATCTGAGAAACCAAAACTTGAGGCACGAAATGGAGACCAGAAAGTACTATCTAGGAAACAAAGAAGAAAGCAACGACTAAGTGAATTTAAGCTGCCACCTTCAAGGCTTCTAGCATACCAGAAAATTAAGGGTAAATCCAATAACAAAAGGAAACACTGAGCTTAGCGGGGCTATCCTATTAAATGCATCATTGAAGGTACTCTATAATGATGTTCATGCTTATTACACTCAATCTCAAGCAATGTTATGAAGTGGATTGCCATATATGTTATCTTCTCTTGATTTCTTTACCTTCTGATCAGATTGTTTTATTTTAATGTTGCATGGTCTTTCACTTGAAGTTTTCATCTTCTGTTTATACGATTATTTTGTGATTTAACTGGGATTGACTTATCCATGTCCTGATCTTTAGGCCATAGTTCTAGGAGATTTGATTCTAAGGTGAACTAATGTATTATTTGATATAAAACGCAGAAAGCATTCTTGGTCTTATAAGAATCTCACATCTTTTGAGTTCTTGTACAAGAACCTTGGTTCTTACCTTGAACTTGGTGTGAAGTGACCTTTTTGTTAGTATTTTTATATTTTATTGACTTCACAATTATTATGGATGTGGAAAAAATATATGGAACCCACAAAATGGGTTCTTATAAGAACTAACGTTGTGAAGTTTTATGTAGGTTTTTGATTTGGTTGGAAATGATGTGGCAATCAAAAGTACAAAAAATGGGTTCTTACAAGAACCTCCATCAGAGATGCTCTAAGTTGAACTATTAGTATCTCTAATGTAATATTCGATATGAAAAAACACAAAAAACTTTATTTCTGCTTTCAGTTCTTTAATTACCCTCCATGGGGAAGGCAGTGAAGTTTCAGATGAGAGATGGTTTCTTTTGCCATCATGTTGTATATAACTGCATAAAAATGGTATTTCCTCTCGCTATGGGATATAGGATGCCCCCCTCTTTTGTGAACTGTAGCTTCAACACATTTGACTTCCACTTTCTAAAGCATAATTGTCCAATGAAATCCTTGCACTTTGGAAGAAATGTTTCTTGTTCTTTAAATGTTTGTGCCATTTTATGATGTCTCCCTTGTGCTCCAGTCTTCTTTCTGTAGTATGTCTGAGCATACAAAAGCTGGTTCACTCCAGTGCCTCTTACCTTTACTACTATTCCGCCTCTCTTATCCATTTTTTGTCTCTTGACTGTTACTCGGGCTGAATGGCTGATAATTGTGTGTTTTAATCATCCATGAGAAACTTCATTTGTGGTGTACCTTAACTGTTAGTTAAATAGTAAAAATGTAGCTCAAGTAAGTTGGCACGTAACAATACATGGTCAATTGGTCATGTAACACCCAAGAGTCATACCTATAAGAGTGATGGATCATTAGCTGCTATGGTATATGGTACTATTAGGGCCTGCTTGTTAGCAGCTTAATGGGCTTAATGGGACTCGCAGCTTATTCAGTCCGCTATACATGACTGTTTGGTAGTGGCTTAATGATATAGAAAGTGGCTTGTTTAGTAAGGGGGATCTTTATGCAGAAAGCCAAGTTTTTTACAAACATGCCCCTCCCAAATAAAATAACGCTTCTTCTGCCTATTAAGACAAATTAATCCACACACACAACTTTATTCCATACAGAACTTAATGGGAAGTGCTAGAAATTTGAGTTTACTTTTTCATGACTTGAAGAATTGAGATCATAAGGAGGATCTCCATTAATGTCTTCTTTGGAATTGTTATATCCATATAATGAACATTTTTAAAGCTTTAGATGGCACATGTTCAACCAGGCCTCCTCCATAGGTTGCCAGTTCAAGTCCCCTCAAGGTCTGCGTGAAGCGGGCCCCGACACCCACGGTTACAAAAAAGCGCTTGTATGCTTAAATTTATACCAATTACTCACTCTAAAATTACGACAGTATTGCATATTCATTTTGAATGCACATTAATAATTGAATATAATCATTGTGAGAAGTTATGCCGACCTGTACTAACCTTGTTGTCTTCTGCAATGCTGCAGATCCGGGTTCTCTGATTAAATCATGGTAACGATGATGAGCGACTTTTGGGGGAGCAACATGATGGTACGGCATCACGATGCCTTCTTCAAACTCAATCCGGCAAGATTCAATTTTACAGGTATTTAGTTATAATGGACATGCATTTTTATCAAACCAAACTAACTAGGGGATAAAAGGGCTTGATCTTGTTCAATCATTTTTGGGATAATTGATTTCTAGATGAAATTTCATTATTAGTTTTGGATCCTGAAACTTTGTAATTTTAAACCAGTTTTGAGTTGTGCTGAACCATCCATGGAATAGAGGACTCTTGAAACTTTGTATTTTTTTGTTTGTTGTTGGTTTGATCATATTTCTATGTATAATCGTATCTTCGTTTTCTTTTTTTTCGAGATGAGACGCACTAAATGGTTTTCATGAATCTAATCTTGTTCACGAATTTTTTTTTTATATTAACATGGATATCCAACCCACTATGCGAGCCGACTAATCCCAAGGCGACCACCTGCTTTGCGCAGAGTTACCTTGAACCTCCGTGGCCACAAGGGGATTTTTGTTCCTCCTTCAATTTGAACCTGAGACCGCCTCAGACATTTTTGACCTTTGGAGTCCAAGCTCAAACCAATCAGACACCGTCCTTGTGGTTCACGAGTTATTTATTGTTAATGGCTGTATTATGAGTCGAATTTTGAGAATTTGATTGGCATAACCTTGTCTTCAGAGCATTTCTAGTCATGAATCTGTTTAGACGTTGACCGACTCTGTCATGTCTGATTTCTCTTTTCTAAACATTTTATAAACTTTCTACCTCCAATTATGGACCGATGTATGACCTAAATTCTAATTATTAAAAAAATATTTTTTTTATTTAATTGTATCGAGTTCCACCATTTTGATGAAGAACCGTTGTGTTTATGAACCTTGTTGGCATGTATCGTTTTCTCCCAATGGTATAAAAATTTTGTAACCGGTTACAAGGTTCAACAACCTTCTATTGGAGATGTTTTACCCGAATGCTTGTCTGGTAATTACTTACTGGTAAGAGTTAACATTGTAACTTACTTTACTGAGTATGATTGTACTCCATCAAAACGATCTTGTAATGCAACAATGTATCCGGTAAGCGAAGGGTTGTTACCTTCACTTATCAGGTAAAACTCTCTTTCATTGTCATCGTTTTTACCAATTTGTCATATTCATTTGGTAAGGTAAATGATCCGATAAGCGCTTACCGGATAAACGTTTAGTAAACGACTCCTAAAGTAGATCTAATTGTCTATCTGATTTTCCAAGGGCTCCAGATAGCAATATTACAAAGGATTAAGGTAAGTAAGTCACAAGCCAAAAGTTGATTTTTTTTAAACCATGACGATAGAATGCCCAAGGTCCACTCTTTTCAGACATGGGCAAAGCCTAGGTCTAAACCTTTTAAGCCCGTTTTCAACGACTGAAAATAAAGTCCCCAACCTTTTTTAGGCTTGGCACACGCTTGTGGTCGAAAAAGGGCCCGATCGATATTTTTCCGACAAAGTTTTTTGGGGCTTTTCTAGGCTTAGCCAAGCTTTTTCAAATCGGGGTTTTCTGGGTTGGACCTGTCCCCAAAATTTCAGCCTGATTAGGCTTCAAGATTGGCTCGGACCGGTTTTAGGATTACTAGGCTCAGGCTTTTTCCAATCAAACTCGAGTCAGACCTGGGTCAGGCTCGGTTTTTTTATGCTATCTCTATATTATATGGGTACGTTTAATGAAAGTTCTTTTAGATACCTTGAATCTTATAAAAATTAATGTGAACAGTTTGACCAATATTGAAGGTTTGAAAATTTGTCGATTGTTTGGTGGGATTTATATTGTAGGTCCCGCCCCAGGAGTCCATCACCGATGTGCATTTTCTTGTTTCCTCAATACTCTCAACTCCAAAGTCCAAATTACCAACCAATCCCTCCTTATTATTCCCAATATTTTTAATTTAATAATGTAATATTCTTTTTTCATATGGTTTAAATATATTTATATTGTTAAATAATATTTATGATATATTGATAAAGTTCATTTAATTAATAGGTTTTCTCCTTTTATTTTATTAATTTAAGGTTTTATTACATTAAAGTAAAACTCATTGTCTCGTCTATAACCATAACCAGTCCTTAGAATTAGGGGTGCTCAAAAACCCGACAACCCGATCAATCCAACCCAACACGAAATAACTCAACTCGAAACAATCAAATGTCTAATCGAGTTGTAAAATTTTAAACTTTAGGTATTGAGTTGAAATTGAGTTACTGTTATTTGAACTCAAGCTAACCCGATATCCTTGTATTTGTTGGATTTAATATAATTATTGAGTTTCCATTAATATATACATTAGACAATTACACTGTCACGTACCCTCTTCATATACACATATTTTCAATCTATTCTTCGTCTCTATATAACTCATTCGTATATATGTTTACTAACTGTGAACATATACATGTAAATTGAGAAAATTAATTGAATGTGATATACGTAAGATTTAAGAAGTATGAATACGTTGTATCAAATGGTTGATGATGAAAAAAAATTATGAGTAGAGAAATAACATATTCAAAGTTAGAAGAATATTTTAATGTACCAAAGTATCAACCCGACCAACTCATAAGGTTTGGGTTGGGTTGGGTTGCACTTTGGTTTAGGTTGAGTTGGTTTAAGATTTTTCAAACTGTAAGTATTGGATTGAGTTGTTCAAATGTCTTCAAGCCGATCAACCCAACCCATGGGCACCCTACTTAGAACCGGTTCCGGTCCTAGACTAGGCCCAAATCAGTCCCAAGTTCTTTTTCCAAAAAATAATTTTGAATATATAAAAAATCTTGTTTGATGATTTTCTTTTTTGGATAATATCTTATTGAAATAATCTTTAAAAGCACTAATTGATTCATTCAAATACATTTTAAATATTTTTTACAAAAAAGTATTGTACATGTTTTTATAATTACGAATTTTAAAAATTGGTATGGAAACACATAAAAAAACTTGAAAAACTTCCAAAAGAACTTGGAAAACTTAAAATAAACATGAAGTTTTTAGTAAAAAAAAACTTGAAAATCTTATAGAAATCTTAAAGACTTGATCAATAATTTATAAGACTTATTTATAAAAAAAATCGAGCCTATGTGTCACCGTTCCCGGGTCTTAAATTTCGTAAAAACCATAATTGGTTACTTACTGTCCGACCACTCATGGTCCCTACCGTCTCAATTAGTCCTAGTCCTGGTTACACGTCGGTTCTAGGCCGTTATACGTCGGTTCTAGGCCGAAACGAGTCTATTTTGACCATCTCTACTATGACAATTTAACATCCAATCATATAATAAAAATAACACTATTGCATCGAAATGTTTTTCGTAGAGAATCTGTTAGAAATGTTTTTCGTGCATCTCCAGCAATTATGCAAAAATAGAGTTATGGAGATTTAATAGATTTTTGTTCCAACAGTTATGGTATAATGTATGCTAAAAAAGAAAATATACTTAGTGGAAATCTCTAAATTTGGAGAAATCTGTAAAACTTATTATTTAAAAGAAAAAAAATATTTATTCTGTCTTACCGATAGAAGACACTAAAATTAAATATTTAGAGAAAGAAAATTATTTTAATATATTTAATAATATAATTAATGTTTAATTTTTTAAAGCTAAATAACTATTGGAATTAAATGTATTTTCTTAAATTTTGACACTTTATTTTAAAAAAATTAAAGCATCTTTAACAACTATACAAAAATAAAGATTTTGGAAATACAACAATTCTTTTTATTTCAATAATTATGGAGCCGTTTACTAAACACTTTGGTAAGTGCTTACTGAATAAATTTCCTCATCGGATGAATATGAGAATGACCAAGAATCTTACTGGGTAAGAGCGATGAAAAGAATGGAGAGTCTTACTCAGTAAGTGAGGATGACGACTCTTATCCAGGTAAACGCTTACCCAATAAATTGTTGCATTATATATTTTTTAATATACTAAAATTTTACGCATCAAAATAAAATCATAATGTAGACTCCTATAGGTAAGCGCTTACCGGATAAACAATTAAGTAAACGGCCCCTATATTAAAATGGATGCTATAATATTAAAAAAAAAGACAAATAAAAATATCTTTAAGTTTAAATCTTTTTCAAAATTTTATATATAAAAAAAAAGAAAAATAATATTTTAATTCTTAGATGTCAACAAAAGATTGAAGGTAATCTTACGGTCCGAAGGTTATTTTCCGATTGTAACATAAAAAGGGTAAAATCGTCATTTGAAAATCTTGAAACGAGGACAAAAGCGTCAAATCACCGAAAATGACACCTACCACAGTTTGGTAGTTCCGCACACCACCATTGTCTTTATATAGTCCCCGACTCTGCCTGCGGACTCCCCAAGAGAACAACTTGCCATCCTTCTTGTTATAACCAACCCTCCGTCTCACTCCCCTTCTGAAATCTCTCTCTCTCTCTCTCAACTTCTATTCACACACATCGGAAATCTCGATTCGATTCTCCATGGCGTCTGCAAGTTTCGTCAAGCTAAACGCATCTTCTTCACCTTGGATCGGTCAACGATCCTTCGATCAACGTCCGGGATCTTCCTCCAGGTTGCCGGCCACTCGTGTATCTGTTGTTCGTGCGGGATCTTACTCCGAAGAACTTGTCAAAACCGCTGTGAGTATTGTATTCATTTAGAATTGAATTTTTGTTTTGGAATTTTAGAAATGATGTCTGATTTCGCGTTGTGTATGGAGGATCTGATTAATCGAACGGATGTGTATTGTTATTGTAGGTAGTAGTTGGTTTTAGGGTTTAGATTAATTGCAATTTGATTTAGTTGTAATGAAGTTGATCACTGTTGTGGTGTGCGGGGTGGTCGTGCCCTATTTGCATCATAAGAAGACAAAGAACGTTACGATTAAGTTTATCGCTGTTGTGGTGGGCCGGATAGTCAATAGTGATGCCCCTTTTTGCATCATAAGCAGCCAAATAACATTATATTTATGTTTGAGAGTGGTGTTGTCGGTTATTTTATTTTTTCAAAGTATTAGAGCACTCGTCTGCGAATTTTGTGGTTCAACGCATTTGTGCTTATTGATGAAAGATAATAACCAAGCTAAACCACATCAAGTGTACCAATGCAGTGTTGTGATCTTGGATAGACATATACTAATTCATCTCATAGTTGTATAACACGAACTTAAATGTTCAATGGTTAAGTGGTATACTACATACTAAGCAGTTAACGCTGCCACTTTACGAAATCAGAGTCTGGACCTTGATTTTATATAGCAATTTGATATAGCTGTCATCGCGTTGGTAAAGCGGTGCAGCGGTAATTTATTTAGGCTCATATAATAAATACAAATATTTGTATATATAAATAAGTAAAGACCTTAATATACTGTATATGTAAGTATACATAAAAAGTAAGGCAAAACAAATCAAGTCCCACACAAGAAACATAGTAACAAAGTTTGTAAAGGTTATGAATGAGATAGTTGCAGTAGCGGTAAATTGCAGTAAATCATGATCAAATAGCGGTAAAGAGTGCCGCTAATCACCGGACCAGTTTTGGTACATTGCTAACTTGCTGTACATTTTTTTGTTGAGTTACATAAATCTTTGATTTATCATTCAAATTTGATAAGCATTATTAGCTTTTTTAAGTTTTATAAATTGCCATTTAAAACCATTTCTTGAGTTTTTCCTGCCTGATTTATCAACTTATTTTCTTTCCCAGATTAACTATATATACAATGAAGCTTCCTCTTCTATAATAAAGATATGTTAATATTATTGTTGATTTTAGAAAAACTTAAGAAAAAGAAGTTAAAAGTGGGGAGCATGAAGATGTTAAAAGCGATATTCATTATGATTTCTGAGCATTTATGTTTTATCCTTGGTAAAATACTGATTGTTTTTTTTCTTTTGGTGGAATAGAAAACAATTGCGTCACCTGGTCGAGGTATCCTTGCTATTGATGAGTCAAATGCCACTTGTGGGAAGAGATTGGCATCTATTGGATTGGACAACACTGAAGCCAACAGACAGGCCTATAGACAACTTCTGTTGACAACTCCCGGCTTGGGTCAATATATCTCTGGTTCCATCCTATTTGAGGAGACCCTATATCAGTCAACAACAGATGGAAAGAAGATGGTTGACTGCTTGCGTGAGCAAAACATTGTGCCCGGCATCAAAGTTGATAAGGTAGGATATATGGTTAAAGATGCTTGTACATGAGTAACCATTATATTTGTTCGTAAAAGCACGTCGTACTTGAATATGATTATAGCACTTCCAGTTTCCCTCTGATAAGAAGTTTCATTCTCCGTTTGGAAGATGATATTTGTAACTTCTTAACTGGTTAAATTCATGTATTACAGGGTTTAGTTCCCCTACCAGGATCCAACAACGAGTCTTGGTGCCAAGGATTAGATGGGTTGGCTTCTAGATCAGCTGAGTATTACAGTCAAGGAGCTCGCTTTGCCAAGTGGTGAGATATGTGATCGTTAGTGTAGCATTCTTCTATCATTCTGTTGGCTTACACTCTCTAGTTCAGTGATGACATTTCCAGTTTAAGTGCAAAGAATACTAATATGGCATAGTATTGATTATCCTCTTATTCTATCTTTCTAGGCGCACTGTTGTCAGCGTTCCTTGCGGTCCCTCTGCTTTGGCCGTGAAAGAAGCTGCTTGGGGACTTGCACGTTATGCTGCTATTTCCCAGGTTTGGTGATAACTGTTTTCCATCCACTGTTTCTTGCCTAATCATATATGCTTGTGCACAACCAATCAAAAACTGGAAAGTAGACCACCAGAAAAGGTTCCTTGAGGACATCTGGTTTGTATTACTTTCATCATCTGCTCACAAATCCGCCTCACTTGTTTCATGATATTTTGTAGTTTCCCATTCAATCAACCAAGGACATAAACAATTACTTTTACTTTGCCATGTAATTTTTGGTAGCAATTACTGTAAAATTTTGTTGCTGCCTGGAAACCCAATTGGCATACACTGGTAACTCGACACTTTTAGGCTCATAAAGATCCTCTATTATCTGCTAGTTTTTTAGATCAAGAAAAACTTGATGTTTGTAGAAACAATGATAATTTAGTTGACTTATTGTGTCAGCTGCAATTGAGTATACTTCTCGTTTTGTGTAGGACAATGGGTTGGTGCCTATAGTGGAGCCCGAGATTCTTCTTGATGGCGACCACCCCATTGAGAGGACACTTGAAGTAGCTGAAAGAGTTTGGTCAGAGGTCTTCTATTACTTGGCAGAAAACAATGTTATGTTTGAAGGAATTTTGCTTAAGCCCAGCATGGTTACACCAGGGGCTGACCACAAGGAAAAAGCTTCCCCGGAGACCGTTGCCAAATATACACTCACCATGCTGAAGAGGAGGGTCCCACCTGCAGTTCCAGGAATCATGGTAATTATACCTGGTCCATCACATCTCTTTTTCTCAAGATCGAAGTCAATACGTTTTTAAGTTCCTTGCACACATACTTACTAATTCAGCCTGACCTATAGTTATTTTGCCTTTACTAGAACATCAGGAAAACATTGCCACATCTAGTTAAATTTGAGCCAAAAGAAAAGTAGCTATTTTGAACAAAATATAAGCTATTTGAATCTTTGATTAATTGGAGAAACATGATATAACTTGTATGAATCACATAGGAGAGTTGAGAAGCACCTTTTTTGGGGAAAATACTTGATTAAGTCTGAGAATTAGACAATTTATACACTAGGGGTCAGAGGACAAAGAAGTAGGAAGGAAGGGTGTTTTTTAATTAGGGTGCATTTGGTATTGCGGGACAAGATGGAACAAGACAGAACGAAAACTTGTTGTCCCACGTTTTGCGCAACAACTATACTGATGACAAAAACATGCAGTTTCTTTCCCACCAAAAAAGATGGAAAATAAAGCACGGAGGTGGGACAAGAGAAGTAAATTACTAAACCACCCATCTCAAATTAAAACCACCTATAATTCTTTCATCCACCTAGCTCACTCTTGCCAGTTCCGTGCCGTCTTATCCTGTATGCACACACCGATTTGATGATTGTGGTTTAATTTCTTAAGATTAGTTCCTGTGATTTCCACACGTGGTGGTATATGATGGTAGTGATATTATTGTTAACGAAACCATATCATGATTCCTTAACTAACTGCTCAAAATTAAAATTCAACCGCATTGATGAAATGGTTGAGACGAGAAAAGCTTAGTTTAGAATTTCGGTTGTGCAGTTCTTGTCAGGAGGTCAATCTGAAATGGAAGCTACACTAAACCTACATGCGATGAACCAAAGCCCCAACCCATGGCATGTGTCCTTCTCGTATGCACGTGCCCTTCAGAACTCCGTGCTCAAGACATGGCAAGGACGGCCAGAGAACGTTGAAGCCGGCCAGAAAGCACTTCTATCACGTGCAAAAGCAAACTCCCTGGCTCAGCTCGGGAAGTACTCTGCTGATGGAGAAAGCGATGATGCTAAGAAAGGAATGTTCGTCAAAGGCTACACCTATTAAGGTAGTTGCTTCCATTTTGCCTTGTGCTTGTAATTCTAGACTTGTTTGAATAATCGAGAAAGACGATGAGAAAACTAAGAACTGACCCTTGAATATGTACACACCACCATCTTAAAGCTGATGGGTCGTATACATTTTTAAAAGATTCGTACGTATAAGGCTAGTTTTGTGCAAATGAGCATCGAGTTTTGTTCTTGTTTGTGTAATTTGGTTTCGTTTCATTGGCATTTTGTGACCTTGTGAAGTCTCTATGAAGGCCACGGAATTACGGGGGTAATCTATTAAAATGGAAGTTTTTTGCATTGGATATTGATAGCGTTTTGCAAAAGCTTTAGGAATGACTTGGTAAAATACTAGAATTCTCTTCAAAACCTTTTTCTGTATCTCTCGCTCCATTGATTCTTTAAAAATAGCTTTTGAAAAAAACTTTTTATGTCTTCGATGCATGATTTAACCATTTCATGATATAAAAAAGGTGTATATAATAGTTGTTAGAATAGAATGGTTGTTGGATTTGAATAAATATTTTATAAGATTTTAATTTTTAATACTTTATTTTTTTTAAAAAAGTTGTAACATAATTGTTGGAGATGCTCAACTATATTAAGAATGCAACGAATGTGTAGATTATGATGCTTTTTGACGACTTTGCCTTCTTATGTCATGTTAAAAGAATTGGTTGAAATTTATTGAAAAGAATATATGTTAAAACAATATTTTCTTTTCAAATCTTAAACATTTAGAAGAAAAAGAAACCACTTGGTCAAAATCTCTTGGCCATGTTTGGTTTGATAAAATGATTCTGAGGGATTTACATTTCATATAAGAATCTGGAATCAAAGGGATTTGAATGAAATTGAAATCCATTATTATAAATAATTTGTTAAAAACAAATTACAACTAATTATAAAAATAATTGAATCATCTTATTGTTAATTTATTATTGGAAAAAAACGTTTTTAACATATTTTAAAAAGGTTATTTATATATAAGTCGTTTGAAATTCCTTGTAATCCAACCATCCTCATGGGATTTCAAAATCATATGTTCGAGAGATTTCAAAGACATCTTAAGATTTTTCAAATCCGAACAACCCTACAAAGCAAACATAGGATTAGAATGAATTTTAGTTCCAAATCCCCAAATCATTTCCATTACTGCCCATCAAATGATACCTTAGACTGTTACTGTGTTTACTAAAATTGTTGGTAAAAAAGAAAAAAAGAACTATTTGATCAAAATCTCTTACTTTAGATAGCGTCTACTGAAATTGTTGGTTAAAAAAAAAATAAGCATTCCATCGGAATTTCTTAATCCAAATAGTATTTACTCAAATTGTTGGTAAACAACCTAAGAAGAAAAAGAAAGCATTTGGTGTTTCATTAAAAATAACAAACAAACTACTTAGATTTGTTTGTTTTATCATATCTCAACCATTATACCACAACCCTTATGAAAAATGTTTAATCAAACCTTAACCACTATACCACAACCTCTGTATAAAATTTAAAAAGTTGAAAGTCACAATATAGGTAAATCACCTCAACCAATTAAACGTTGGAAGCTTGATTTTTCAATTTTTCTGATTAATATATTATGGGTGTTTGGGATTGCTTATAAAAACAACTTATTGACTTATTTCAGTGTGATATCTAAAATAAGCATTTTTGAGTGTTTGGATAAACAACTTATATCGGTGTCAAACTGGTGATAAGGAGTTTTTGAAAAAGTTAAACCATTTTAACTTATAATAAATTGATAAGTGTTTTTGTAGAAAAACATAAGTTGTTTCAAATAAGCAATCCCAAACACCTCCATTGTTTGCGAGTGATTCTTGATCCTAAGACCAAATACAAGATTTTAGTCACACAATGATACGTGATTTTAATCACACAATGATAATATTATTATATTATAAAAAAGATAACAAAGATAAACCAAATCAAATGAGTCCAGTATTGACATCCTGAGATGAGGTTTGGGGATAAGAGTTATACGTGCTTGATATATTATAGACTATGATAAATTATGGTGTGGTATGATAAATCGATGGCCATATCATTCAAATAATTGCTTCAGTTTAAACAACTTAATAGCTTTGGATATAGCGATGCACGTATCTAATGCAGTGGTTTATTTTGGTGCATGAGATCTATTTTGCATTTCCATATAATTTTAAGAGTAAAGGTTAATTTTGGTCCATAACATTCACAATTTTCAACGGGTATCATCACGTTTGTCAATTCCAAATGGTTTTCGTGCCTTTGTCTAACGATCGTTAACTTTATCCATTAAGTCCAACTAAATAAGGGGTGTTTAGCCATTTTTACTCTTTTCATCATATTAGAACAAAATATATATATTCTAATTTTAGATTGTAAAAAATGAAAAAACTAAAGGTGAGGGTTATCCTTATTTTTATTTTTTTTACGATTAAAAATTTACAAATGTAATATGTTTTTTTTAATTTAATATAAAATTTGAAAATTAGTGAAAATGATTGACTATTATTAGTAATTAACAAACACAAGACATACATAGCCACCGTTAGATAGAATTCTAACGACCGTTAGATATAAGGACCAAAACCATTTAAAATTTGATAAACATGAGGGACTAACTCCGAATTCTAAAATTTAAGGACAAGATCAATTGAAAGTATAAATATTAAGAACCAAAATTAAACTGCTCTACAATAAATTTTAGATATTTGTTATTATAATAAGAAATGTCATGTCAACACTATTGTATATGTGGACAGCCTATATGGATGATGAGATGACAAATAAACCTGGTATAGTGGGTAAATTTAATTAAAAATGTTACTCAATGCTATAATGAGTAAACTTTTGAAAGAACGATGCCCTAATAGAAAATATTTTGAAAGTACATTGTTGTAATAAGAAAAATTGAAAGTAATGCTATAATAAAAAAAAATTGTAAAAATAGGTTGCTATTTCATGCATTTTGTAAAACTAGAAGGGTACTCGCACAATGCAGCGAGATACATCTCGATTTTAATGTTTAGTGTTATTTATTTTTGTCTTAGTCGATGTTATAATATGGTCTTACGTAGTTTTGAGAAAGCGATAACGTTTTTATTTTTGAATAAAATATAAATATGAATATATCATAAAAAATGAAAAAAAAATATTGATATTAGTACAAACTATCTAAAATATTTCGTTTTTTTGTATATTTCTTTAATTCATTTTTTATTTTTGGTTTAATAATATAATTTTTTATAAAAATAATAATTAAGTATTTTGTTAGAAATCAATGATTATCCTAATTATATTTTAGATTTTTTATATTTAAAATGAAATGTTTATCTGTAGTTAGTTACACGAATTCAAACATGAAGCTTTAATAAGTTGTACTTACGTTCAATTTACTTGTAATATTGAATTTTAAGTAATATATATCAATAAACAGTACTTCATGTATAGAGAATGGTTTTTAAGAATTTTTATCAAATGTTTTATAATCTATATATATATATATATATATATATATATATATATATATATATATATAAGAAAAAACAAAGATATTTGAGGTGACATCATGAGAATTGAGTATTGAGGTGTTGGTTAATTGTGGTTGAGTTTGAGATATCCACATTAGTGAATAGTTGAAAGATTTGAACAAAATGAAATATATAAGAAAGGTGGATTTGATGCATTTGTGTCAAACAATGTGGTTTGCCTCATAGAGTTGTCTTTCTTTTTACAACTGTTGCTATAACTTAAGTACTCCTTTAATTTTCACTTGAAATATTATAAAACGTTTTTTTTTCCATAACTTCAAATGAAATTTCAATTAAATTTGTTACAAAATTAACATCGTGATTTTGTTACCTTATATGAGATTTCAGTTAGAACTGTGACTTCTAATTAAACAAACTACTAACATTAGTCAAATATTTGTAAGAATACTATGTAACATCATTCTCGAGCATAGTTAGATAACTTAAATTAGCAGATGTTCTAAAATTGTTGTCAACTTCTCTTAAAAACTTTTAATGTTAATAAGTAGTTACCAGATACATTTGCCTAATTTTTTTAAAATTAAACTTTAAATTTTAATCTATAACATTTCTTTTAAAGAGATATTACAAACAGTACATAACCACGGTTGGAACACTATTATACTACAGATAATGATTTGAATAATCACGACCGAATAAAAAGGATGGTTTTATATATCCACGTAAACATGAGCCTTCCATGCATTGGCAGTTTACCACCTCACATTCTCACGCCTCCTTTTCTTCCATATTCATCCCTCGTTTGTTCCAACACACACAAAAAACAGATCGCAAAATTTGCAGAAATGGCGACGGAAAAAAGCAAGCTATCGGTTTTCCCGACCGACAGGGAAGAAGTGAAGGGCATTTTCAACCGTTTCGATGCCAATGGAGACGGTAAGATCTCCGAGGAGGAACTCATTCACGTCCTGAAGGCACTCGGATCCGACACGTCTCCCGACGAGGTGAAACGGATAATGTCTGAAGTCGATACCGATTCCGACGGTTTCATTAGCATCGATGAGTTCGTCGGATTCTGTAAAGGAATCGCTAGAGAATCTGAGGGCGACGGGATCGATGATCTCAGGGAAGCGTTTAAGCTCTACGATCTGAACAATAATGGACTGATCTCCGCCAGCGAGTTGCATCAGATATTGACTCGGCTGGGGGAGAGCTACACCGTTGATAATTGTGCGAACATGATTAAGTCGGCGGATTCCGATGGCGATGGTTGCGTCGATTTTGAAGAATTCAAGAAGATGATGTCGAAAAACTCAAGTGACGGCGCACGGTAGGATAGCAGGTGCGATTACACTGGATCTCTGCTCTCATGCAAACTTTATTTTTCCCCCTTTGCATCTAGTCATTACTTTTGGCAAAGTATATTGAGAAACTTAAACACAATTCGTTTGTTTTTATTAAGATATCATGATATATAATGTGCAAGTTTTCTGGTTAAATTACAGATTTCATGTATATCACAATTTTGTTGCATTATATGTATTCAATTTGTTCTAAAATTTTATCTACGATCTACCCTACATATTTTGTTAGCTTTTGTTTGCTTGTTTATGTACATGTCATCTAATCACTTCATATGATGAATAGAATGGAGAAGAATATGTGATATGGAAGTTAATGTTTCTTGGCTCCAATTGCAAAAGGTTTTCAATGCAAACTATGATCTATTTCTATTTTCGATGTGGTTTTTCTGTAGATATTAGTAACAAGTATGATCCAGTTTCTCAAGTAATAATAGCAACTTAATTATATGTGATCTAGTTATTATTTGCATGGGTCAACAAAATATTATTGTTTTTGAAAGAAACAAATTCCTAAATCTATTTAAAAGGGTGTTTCAGATATATGATTGCTAATTTACTAATTTTTTTAGAATAAGTCATCAATCAAATGTCATATTCCTATATATGATAGTTAAAACATTGGTTTATGGATTGTTATTTGCACTCCTTTAATGTTAAAATTAGGTCAATTTATGCATTGAAAATATAAAAAAAAAAAGTTTCGATGTTGATTTGTGTGAGGAGTAAAGTACAGGTTCGGGGTGCATTTAGCATGTATAGGGGTGCAACTAGTCTCCCCTTGTTTTAGGTCAATTAATTATATAAGTTGGATTTACACTTTCAACTTGTATTCATAATTGGTATAATGGAGTTTAATCATTTCAGAACTAAAAAATTGTGAGTTTCGTGAGAAATTCTACCTTAAGTTTTTGTTTCATATGATTTCTTTTTATCTAAGTATAATATTTAATATATTGAAACATATATTTGTTCCATAATATATTCGTTTTATATATATTTGGTTCACACTGTGAAACTTATTTTAGATGTACTTTTTGTTTTACAAACATGCAAAAAAGGTTCACATTTATGAACCGAGTACATGTAAACAAACACATTGTAAAATAAATATATGTAATAAATATATGTTAATCACTATATTAAATTCTAGTCATAGATGAAAAAAAAATCATATGAAATAACATATATACTAGTTCTCGGAGACACGATTTAGAGAGTTCTCAAAAGAAGATCCCTCTATTATATCATGAAAATATTTTCCTCTTAGTACAAGCCAACCACCAAACACGACGTGAAACCCTATCTGAAATTAACCTAAGAAATCAAGGCATTCTCCAAGAAGTTAACATCACCAGCTTGGACAAGAGAAGTTAAAAAGATACAAATATGACAATGTAGTAAGATTCTCTTAAGTATGCTTACTAACTTTTCCAAGCTCCCCTTCTAGTACACGATCCACTAGCCTGCCTTTTTTATGGTGGAGTTCAAATATTGGTACAACGATAATTTTTTGATTGAAGCAAATTTATGGATCAATTTACAAAATCAATATTTGAATACAATTTGTCATTATACAATTTAAACTAATAGATGATCACAAACAACTTTTCATTCTTTTATTTCTTTATTGTTTTACAATTTTATGCATCAAAGTTTCTTAATTCGTTTATATTGTAATTTTTTTTACAGGACTCATAAAATGTAAAAGTTCAAAAATACATATAAATTATTTTAGATCTCATCTCTGCATGAGATATGTTGAGCTGGTTTGATTTACAATAATAATTGACAAGGTTTTCATGGAAATTATTCAAAGTAGCCATTTCAGCCTTATACATTTATCTGTTGGTCATTTCTTTCTCAAATTTTTAAAATTGTCATTTACATTCGTAAGTAGCAAAGGGGTCAAAATATAAAAAAGAAGTTTCTGAACATGCTCTGCAAGTATAAGGACCAAACCTGTGAAATTCCAAATACTTGGCAAGTAGCTTTAACTAATTTACAGACTTGCATTTGCGGACCATGTTCAAAAACTTTTTTTACATTTTGACCCATCTGCTAGTTGAGGAGATGTTACTTGCGGATGTAGTGACATTCTAAAAATTTTGGGAGAAAAATGAATTCGAGGTAAATCTGTCCGATAAAATGGTCCTTTTGAGCAATTTCCCAAGTTTTTTATGCTTTGTCTTTTTTTCCCCTCAAGAAGTATTCAGAAAGAAAAAAAAAGTTTGAAGGTAGTGAGACGTAATTATTCAAAATAATGGGATACTTTTCACATCCTACAATACATAAGGGGGTGTATTCACATTTTCCTGAAAAAGAACATCGAGCGCAAGATTAGAGCACTGTTGGTGTGGTTTTGCTAACATGCACCATGCCTTCTAATGTGTATAAATACGGACCGGTCATGTTCATGAGTATACAATATCGAATTTCAGTAAAAGCCCAGAAAATTGGAGTTTAAATTACACTTGAAAAAATAAAGAAAAATGGCAAGTACAAACGCTCTCGTCAATCTGCAGCTCAACACAAACAATTGCTTCAACTGTGTGAGTTCAAGAACAAATCATTCAAATTCTTTGCAGATCAATCAAAGAAAGACCTACTTGAATGTCTCAAATAAGAGGCAAAACAAGGTTAATAGAGTCGTTTGCTTTGCTCTTGAAGATGTGAGGGATATGCAAAGAAAGCTTGGTATTGGGGGTACAGGAGCAGTTGTTGAAGATAAGTCTAGTAAGTTACAGCCTAACTTGAATTCTTGTTGTTTAATCGATTTAGGCCTAGGGTTTTTTGGTTTATCTTTACATACTTGAAGAATTCTTGTATTGCGTTTATGTATTTCTTTTTTATTTGACGAATTTGTTATTAACCTGATTGATCTTGTTGAGTGATTACGTTGAATTTTGTTGTGTTTTAGGGTTTAATGGAATTAGTTGTATATTTTGTCAGATCAATCTATGAAAGTACTGGATGATTTTCTGGAATATGTTGGTTAATTGGTTCTTTAACTTTGTGAACATTTGATACTTCGTTGAAAGAGCGATGTACTTTTGTACTTGGTTTTTGTTGCAAACTAACTACGAACAAGTTGCAAGAACCAGATATTTAACTTATTTTAGACATATTTATGAAAATGTAAATGCAAATACTTGGCACATGTTGTCCAACATCTTTCCATTCTTGGGAAGTTTTTTTTTGGCAGAATAATATCTTTCTCCACAACAAAAACTTAGATACGGTGGTTTCAAAATGAATCAATTGTATGAAATGAATCAATCGTGGATGCAAACCTCCTTTTTGTTGATTATCTATGTTTTCTATGGACTTCATTTCCTTAAGTTTCTATTACATGTTTGGCGTTTGTTTGATTCATAATCAAAGGCCTAGGTGAGTTAAATTGACTATTTGTTTCCTAAGGCAAGATTTGAACAGGGAAATAGTTGAGATTCAGCTGTTGTTTGATGTGGGAACAAGACCTAATGAACTTGAACTTTTAGGGAAGCCTATTGGAACCATTGGGACACTTATGGGATTGGAACTTTGATTAATATTAGTTAGTTTTTGTAATTTCTTCATCCTTCAATAGACAATGCATTGTTTTAATCTGTACAGAGCATGATTCACAGGTGTAATCTGGTAGATACCGTAATAACCTTTTTCTCTTCAATTCACTTCAAGACCATTGCCTCTGTTATGCCCCTAGGGTACTCCTGTGCTTTTGTTTGGACATTACTTTTTAAGTGATGTGCAACAAATGTTTCGATCATAACTCATCGCTCTGCATGCCCAGTGAAAGAATCATTATACACTGTAACAAGGATGTTGGATCAATGAAAAGGCTAAATAAATAGGTATTGAGGATCAAAAAGGGTAGTGGAGAATGGAGGTGAATGAATAAAGCGTATAGTTTATCTATACTTTCTTGGTCCCATAATTTCCTTTTTTGGATGTCCTGGAACTAATCCTACATTTCCATTTTTAACAAAGTTCCAATCCAGAATTATGTCTATGCTCATTAGTAACCTATTCAAGATATGCTAGCATTGATTTGGTCAAAAATTCCCGGTTGTATCTTTTTAAAGGATATTTTGGACATATGATGAATATCAAATCATATATATTAAATGATGTGCTCGGTCAAACGTCACATTTACTTTTGGACGAAAAGAATATCACCATCTAGTTGCACTAAGTAATTGACAAAGAGGATTCTTTTCTAGTTTGAAGCATCATAAGTTAAGAGGATCCTTAACATATGTACTTTCTAAATTTACTTTTTGAACTATATTGTTGCTCGCAGGTAGGCCTACCATTAGGTGGACATAGTGACACCATAGAGGCTTGTGTGTGGGAAGACCTCTTCCTTTGGCACTATTTACCATGTCACGCTACTTTTCTTGCATACTTGTTGTATATAAACATAATCCTACTTTGCACGTCGGGGGTCTTCACGGAACGACCTCTCTACCCCTTGGGGTAGAGGTAAAAGATCTGCCTACGTCCTACCAAAGTTGTTAAAGGCTCAAGGCGCACTTAGGCACAAAGGGTTCCTAGGGCCTAGGCGTGAAGCGCGGTCCTCAGGAATGTGAGGCACATCTTATAAAAAGAAGTATATATACACACACAGTTACACACAACTCAAATATGTTGCAAGTACAGGCCTCCACTGCAACAACCAACAGTACTTCGATAGAGGTAGAAGGGAGAAGGGTTTAAAGCGTGAGCCGTTAGGGAGAAGTTTTAAGGTCTGGCTATTAGGGTTTTACTTATATCATCTATTTTCACCTCTTGTTTTAAGAAGTCTGGAAGATAAGAAGATGAGAACTTATTTAATATGAGGGTTTGAATGGGTATTTAATAGTTCTTTATAATGCACGTTTAGGCCTACACTGCGCCTCAGCCAAGGCACAGGTCCTTAGTGAGCCCCGTGAATACGCCTAGCCTCAACTTTGAAAAAGCCCAAGATCTTGTGCCTTATGAGCCTCAAAGCCTAGGCGTGCTTTTAACAACTATGCATCCTACCTTCCCTAGACCCTACCTCTATGTGGGATATTTATAATGTCAAGCATCTTCTTGACTTGATAAAAGAAGTTTAGTTGTTTCTTTTTGATGTGTGAATGATCCAAGTCAATGATGATCATAGGGGTTTATTTGATAAAAGTAGATGAAAAGCATTGGATGACCATTCAAGTTATGAATAAAAAGCGACCGTCTACTTTTGATGCTAGATGGAGAAATGTTGTTTGATAAGTCTTATATATGGAACATTTTAAGCAAACTTTAGCATGTCATTAGGAAATTTGTACAATTTTAAAGCATAGAGAATGATCATAGTTATTTAAAAAAAATACATTAAAAAACTAAATATACACCTATTACAACTTTGATTACAAGTGATAAACCATAAAACAATTAAGAAAAAGAAGTAACAAAATCAAATTATAACAATGTGAAGGGAAAATACATTAAAATAATGCAAAAGAAAAAATATACAAAAACTAAGGGGCCATTTACCAATCGCTTACTGGGTAAGTGCTTAGCGGGTGTCACTTACCTTAGAGATGAGCATGACAAGGACCTAGAATTTTACCCGGTAAGTGAGGAAGAAGACTCTTACCTGCTAAGTGTTTACCGGGTAAAAAATGTTTACCAACAATTCATTTTGATGGCTGAGGATGTTACCCGATAAGATAAGTTAGGGTGGTGCTCTGCCGGTAACTGCTTATTGGGTAAGCGTTTGCTAAACGGTCCCTAAGAGAAACAAGGAAACAGAAAACAGAGAAAGAAATTTAACAAAAAAAGGTGTGGGAGGAGATTTTAGGTTGAAGAAGAAATGGATATTTCTGTCCACAAATAAATCAGAATGTACATATTTGTATGACTCATTAAGATGCAAGCAGGATCATTAGGACTCGATCAAATGAAGAAACAAACAGTCATAATCAAAATATGTCTTACCGAATAAGTTTGGTGCCAAATGAACGAGCCCTTGGTATTTGCAATTTCATTGTTTGCTTATTGCTAAATCCAACCTGAACTTAGTCTCCGGTTTCATGGTCTCTTTGTTTGCTATTTTGCTTATAGAGGTGGCTGATAAGATAACAGAAGAGAACCTTAATCCAGAAAAGGGGAGCGCACTCTATAATTTTCTGTATCCAGATAAGGAGCTTCTACCAGAAGATAAAGAAATGAGTATTTTCGATCATCTGGAAGAGCTGCGAGAACGATTATTTGTGTCGGTTTTGGCTGTTGGAGCGGCCATCATGGGATGCTTTGTGTACTCAAAGGAACTCATAATGCTTCTCGAAGCTCCTGTTAGAACTCAAGGTGTTCGATTCTTGCAGTTGGCTCCTGGAGAGTTTTTCTTCACAACTATAAAGGTCAGCGTTGATCCCATATGCATTTTGATCTCGTATCAATTTTCACATTATTTTTTCTGTTCGTCAAACAAAAATATACCTTTCGACTTTTGGGGTCAAACAGTAACTTCAATATCTAATTTTTGATCTTATTACAAATATAGAGGTGTAATCATTTGTTAACCGATTAATTAGTATTAGTTTTACAAACTCATCTGAACCGTTCATTTTTCATCAAAGGTTATGGTTAAATTGGAGGTTATAAAATGATGAAAATGGAAAGAAATTAAATGAAGGGCAATTTGGAACAAATTGTGTTTTATTTTTGGAATTAAATTCATTTTCTTTATCCCTTGGATTCTATTTTAATTTCATTTATCCCTTAGATTCGGTTTTAATTCCAATTATCCCTTAAATTTGATTATTTTTTAAATTAAACTTCTTTCTTTTTGTCTATGAACTTTGGTTGTTCCAAAAAGTTAATCAAAGTTTGTAGGTGAAACCAGAAAGTGAATGAGATAATTAAGGTAGTTTTAACAAAGTTCATAGGTGAAACGATGATTTTTGTTTAAATTTCATAATGTTGTTTAATGTATGAACTTTGGTTGTTCGAAAATTTTTACACAAAGTTCGTAGGTGAAACCAAAAAGTTTGAAACAGTGATTTTTGTTAAAGGTTCATACATGTTCTTTTTGTTGCAAGATTATTGTGATTTGAGTGTGAATTATTAGCAGAAAACGAAGGTTCAAAGTTGAAACTATTGAATTTTAGAAGGAATGAGATAAATTATGGAATGTGATAATTAAGTGATAGAGAAAAATTATGATGATTGCTTGAGATAAATTAAGCAATGTAATATAAATATATAAAAAGACGAAAATACCCCAGTTTGTAAAGTTAATACTAATTACACGGTTAACAAAAGAAGCTGCCCCTACAAATATATTGGTACCCTCTTCCATTTGTAGCATTTGTCTCAAAGTTCCAACTTTATAATCAAACTTTTATGAAAAATTGTATGTAGGTATCTGGATACTGTGGCATTCTTTTAGGAAGCCCTGTGATTCTATACGAGATCATAGCGTTCATTCTGCCAGGACTAACAAAATCGGAGAGGAGATTTCTGGCCCCAATCGTGCTAGGATCCTCGATACTTTTTTATACAGGCATTGCGTTTTCGTACTCGGTTCTTACTCCAGCTGCCTTGAACTTCTTCGTTACTTATGCAGAAGGGGTTGTGGAATCTTTGTGGTCAATTGATCAATACTTTGAGTTTGTGCTCGTGCTAATGTTCAGTACAGGATTGTCTTTCCAGGTATTTATATCGTTTTTGGCAAATATTCTTGATCGTTTTCTATTCTACTCGTGTTCAATTTCAAATATGTATTCGTTTTTTTTGGATTACATTATTTTCAACACTTAAGAAAGAAGAAACAATTCAAAATAAGAGAACATATATGCTCAACCCTAAACGGGTGGAGTATTTATTGTCCTGAATCAAATAGAGACAGATCAGTTGCAAATGTAAGTTGGTATTTTTTTAAGTATATAGTGTCCCTGTGGTTTGTTAAAGAATCGTGATTTTTGTCCTTGTGGTTTAGAAATTGTGGTTTTCGTCTCTATAGTTTTTAATTCATTGCTATTTTCGTCCTTATGATTTACAATTTATTGGTGTTTTGGTCCCTGTGGTTCACAATTCTTTAATGTTTTGGTCCCTTCCAGGGACGAAAATAGCAATAAATTGCAAACCATGGGCATGAAAATCGAAATTATTAGCAAACCACAGGGACGAAAATTGTAATTTACTCTATATAGCATTTGAGTCAGCTTGCAAGAAGGTGAGAAGTTCCAAGATCATACATGATTACGTGTGATACAAACACGTAATCATATACAAAACAACATATGTTGCATTGACCGGCATATAGTGACGACCCCTTCTGGAGGTGTTGTATCACATGTAATTATGTGATATTGAAACTTCTTGCCTTCTTGAGGTGTTGTATCTATATTATTCATATACGGTAAATACTCACTCTCACCTTATATGAAGTTTGAACCCTTGACCTCCAGTGAGGCTAGGTTATACAGGTAACCAAGATATTGATGGGCCAATGACAATGACCTGTTGGTTAAAGTTTGATAGTTTTATGTGTACGTACATAGGTTCCGGTGATACAACTGCTGCTAGGACAAGTTGGTTTGGTGTCGGGGGATCAGATGTTGTCAATATGGAGATACGTGGTGGTTGGTGCGGTTGTTGCTGCTGCTATTGTGACTCCGTCAACTGATCCACTTACTCAGTTGCTTTTGGCGGGACCCCTTTTGGGTCTTTACTTTGGCGGTGCATGGACCGTAAAGCTCATTGGTCGGTAACGGAACCATCTGCTCGGTTTTCAGACATGTGGGTGTGGGTGAAATCTTAGATGAAAGAATGATTTTGTGGATGAATGTTGTTGGTGAAGGGTAGGGTGGGTATTTGCAATATTGAATTTAAAATGGGAGGGACAAGAGACGGTTTTAGTTGCAAAGCAGTTATGATTCGTTTATGTAACAGATACAATCATTCAATAAAGAGAAACCATGTTTATTATGTGAAATCCTGTGATTATATCTCAAGTCAAACGATCGACAAGTCGCATAAGAAAATGACAAACAAGGATGTACTTCGTAAATTGTAAGATTACGTTATCATAGCATCTCAAATGGAGGTTCTTGTAAGAATTATTATTGGAGATGGTTCTTACAAATTATATACGTTCTTATTCTTCCGGTTCTTGTATGGAAACCTTGATTCTTATTTTGAATTTCATATAAACTATTATTTTTTATGGTTCTTTTACTTTTATATAATAATTATTGATGTTGAAAAAATACATGAAACTCACAATAGGGGTCTTATATGTTGAAAATTTTTGCAGGTTTTCAATTTGATGAGTTAGAAATGATATGATAAGAAAAAATACAGTAAGTGGGTTCTTTGAAGCTGCGTTAAGCATTACAACTCCAGTACTGGTTTTCAGGTCATGCCATTTCTTTTGAAATAGTTTAGAATGCAACAAATATAATTTGTTATAATTGTATAAAGGATAATGCTACATGCATCTTT